ATATATATATATATATATATATACTAAGGCATTTTAAACTCTTCCCACACTCTTGCAGTATTCCAAACAATGTTTCTAAACTCTAAATGATCTAAAAGAGCGCAGAATGTCATGATTTCTCTCTCTTCCTCCTCTGCTCTTTGCCACCTGCCACGCCCACTTCTCAGCTCTGAAAGGTGACCAGTTGATCAGCTGCAGCAGGACGTTTATCCTGCAGTATGGGCTGCACAAAGCTGCAGGAGGAAGCTTTTTCTGCTAAGGTGCAGCAGGTGCCAAATAATCTAAAATAATTTATCTTAAATAAAAATTCTATGCCGATCGTGCGGCTCATCCATCAATCAGCCAATTGTGTGTCATGTCCAATCTTATTTTGAAAAACAGCGATGGAGCGAGTCCGTGATGATAGAACCACAAAGTAGCGAGGGACTACTGTGTTCCTAAAGGATATTGGAAAAGCATGTTTTATAAAGCTAACTACACTACAATAAGACAAAGCCTGAAAAAGTTATTCTAGATCATCTGTCATAAAGAAAATGTTTGTTCCATTTCAATATGCGGCCCTTTGGTTGCTTTAAACATCTTGATATGGCCCTTTGGAAAATAATTTTGCCCACCTCTGATCTAAAGCTTATTCAAAAAGGTTTTTTTTGTTCCTTTGTATGTTTTGTGAAACTATAGTATGGGTCAAATCACAGCATTTACATACAGTGTACTCAGAATATATTTTTTTAATTAAATAAATTACACCTATATTGTTGCAACAAAAACACAAAAATACCCATTTCACAGGTGGCGAGAATGTCCCCATGTAAAAATAAAGACGGGCTGACGATGCACAGCTGCAGACTCTCAAAACCGTTCTGAAGCCCCAGCGTTCTACAAGCTTGCCACACAGAGATTTACACCTCTCTTTTTTTTTTATTGAAACAAAAATCCAACAAATGCTTTAATTAATTAATTAATGTCACTTTTTTAAATTTCATGTTTTATCTACATACAAATTACTGCGGATTCGGATGTAATCAGCACATTAAATGACCATTATTAGTTGTTTTTATCCCCATAGTTTGCATTCAGAGTGTCCCTCCTACCTCCTAGTAGGTTTAAATGTACGTTCTTATGGCTGATAATATGCATTGTCACCCGCATCTAAAACTGGAAGCTTTTTTTGTGAGCTTTATTTAACCCTTTTCCTAAACCTAACCTTATACCTGACCCAGAGCACTGACCATAAACTTAAGCCCCTGACCCTTGGCTCTGAACCTAACCCCCTCACTGTATTATCTGCGACAAGAACGTTCCTTGAAAGCTACTAGGAGGTACAGCAAATTCTCTTAAACATCTGAAGTGTTTGGACTATTTATGATCTTCTCAGAGATGTGAAAATGGTGTAATAAATGCATGTACATAACGTTTTAGCAAGTTAGTAACAGAATAACGTTACAATTTTTAGACAGGAAATGTTGTTCTGCAAATTACTACAAGTTTATTTCCCATTAATCGACTAGAAGAAGCTCGAGAGTTGATAGACTTTATAGTGGAGTCCATAGTCAGACACTATTCAGTTTAGAGTTTACAAAAATTGCACAAAATGTTTTTAAATGCCATTTAAAATTTAATTTCAGTTGTTAATTTATTCAGCGCATGATGAAAATTTATTTTTTGAAATAAAGTAATAGTAGACCTGGGCAAAAATAAGCCACTATGTCAAGGTATTATTATTTTTCTTTGTTTGCTTTTAGCTCCACGTCCCAAGTCTACAGATAGACACCAAAAAACTGTTGTTATAAATCACTACCTCGAAAAATGTTTTCACCAAATATTATGGTTGTGTGTAGACAGGACATATAAATGCATCAGAAAAGCAGAACCTTCAGACCTGCAGGTTTACAAAGTTGTTTCTTTCCCATCGGTTTCTGCTGCGTCCTTTGCTGAGCGTACTGAACGACTCGTGCACTTTCACAATAAAAGCAGGCAGACTTGTAACAGTTTTTCAGTACTGTATTTTTCGTCCTATAAGTCACAGCTTTTGGCATAATTTACAAGCCCTGCGACTTGTACACCAAAACAACGTATTTACATTTTTTCCTCCCATATTATAAACCAATTTTTGGCTGAGATATGACAATTTCATTCATTCTGACATTGAAAATATTGAACACTACCATTTTCAAGCAAACAAATAATTGTTTTAGGTGCTTATCTTGTTAAATTTCGAAGAAATGCACAGCCTTCCTCCTTCCTGATTTCCTCCCTCTGCGTGCTCCCAGAGCACCGAGGCAGCGGATATTTTTGACATGCAGCTGATCTGACTGTTAAAGTCCTTGTATTAAGGAAAAGTTAAACTGAGACACACCTTTACTATAGAGTCGAGCAAATAATTGATTTTAGGTGGTAACCTTGTTAAATTTCGAAGGAATGCACAGCGAGTCGTTGCTCTGCGCACTCCCGCTTTCGCGTATCGGCTTTTGGAAATGCAGCTGATTTGACCGTCAAAGTGCATTTATTAAGGAAAAATGAAACTGAGACACACCTTTGCTATAATTTTGAGCAAACAAATACTTATTTTTAAGTGTTAATCTTGTTAAATTCTTGTTAAAGTCTTCCCTTGCACGCTCGCGCGATTGCCATTTGGCAGCCAGTCGCTTTTTGGCACAACACCGGCCCTCATTTCCAGGTTGTCAGCGGTGACGCATAATAGATGCAACGTATACGGCAAAGGGACACATTTATGTCTTTTTCCACTTTATTAGGCATATCTGGACTGATGCAACTTATCAGGTCTCTCTTGTAAATGAGTCCTCGAGGCTCAATGGGATTTACTTGTCTAAATAAAGGTTGAATGAATCGTGTGGTGCGACGTGTACAGCGGAAAATACGGTAATTATTTTTATCATCAGTGTCAACCTGGATTTGTCATCTATCAGAGGAGTGCTCCCAATCTCATCAACATACAGCTCTAATGTTCCTGAGAAGAGTTCAAAGCTCCTGGGACGACTCTGTGACTATTATGAGAAAAATATTGGCACAGTTTGGAGAGTCCCTTGCAAGCGTTGTCTGCCAACTAGTTACCAACTGTTGCAGCACAATACAAGTTTTAACACCCCTGGTGCTTGTGGGTCAGACCCCCAAGACCTCAGTTTTAAAACTGAAGCTTGCTGTGTCACTTTGACCTTTGTGCATCTGGAGGGTTAGGGTTCTTGAGTGTAAGTAAAGAAAAAGTTTTGTTTCAGGCAGAACTTCTTTTTACAGTTGTTATAAAACTACGTAGGAAAGTGCCACAATTAGTTTGTTTTCATAATGAACAGGTTTCCTAGTATGGCTACAAAAACTTAGACCAGATGTTACATTTAAAATATCGTTGCATAGTTAAAGTCGTAAGCATTGTTTGGGCAAGTAAAAAAAAAAATCATGCACGTGTTTCCCTTAAACTTCTTTACAATTTGTGAGTTTAGCCCCAGTTTTGCTTTTATATTGACCTTGTCAGCTCTGCTCGGGCGTTTAGATATTAGTGATTCACCCGATACAAAGAGCAGCCAATAGCAAGAATACAGCAGGGCTCAGATATAAAAGTTAATGAGCAACTAACTGGTGGGTCTTGTCAGATAACAAAATAATTCACAGCTTTCCAGCTCAACACACACCTGTCTGTCCTTTGTCTTACCACTCCCTTTGTACCGTCTTATTAAGCTGTGTGTTCAATTTCTCGAACACTGGGTCATCCATCATGAAGAGGCTTCTGCTGCTGGGTGTGATGGTCTTCTGTTTTTGCATGTTGCTTGCAGCTGACACACAATCTGACCGAGTGAAAGACGACACATTACCAGAAAAGGACGGAATTTTACAACTAAAGAAGGGAAATTTCAACAGGGCTCTGAGAAAATACAAGCAGCTGCTGGTGCATTTCAGTAAGTTACACACACAGACACACACAACTGGATTTTAATGTTTCAATAGATTCTGACATATGAACAACGCCACCATCAGACTGACATGTATGTTCTTTGAACTTCCTGAAAAATAAAGTTGAAGAACATTTGTAATCCTGTTTATACTCCCTCTGTGTTTGTCAGTGACTCGTCTGACGGTGGAAGGTCATCGTGTGTCAGCAGCATTCGAAGGAGCTGCTGTAGAGCTTCAGGGGTCAGAGGTCAAGTTGGCCAGAGTTGATGTGACAGAGGAGAAGGATCTGGCTAAAAAGTTAAATTTTACTGGACACCCAATCAAACTCTACCTTTCTGGAGATATACACAACCCTGCAGCCTGCCCTGGTACGTGTAAGAGGATGTTTTTTTTACATCATATTATCTGTAATTTACAGAACTATTTAGGTCACTTTTATAAGAACAAAAAGTGTCCAACTTTACAGAGCAAACAAATGATTGTGTTTCTGGTCTGAAATGATAATAGGAGTGTCATAGACTGGATGAATATTAAAAAATGTAAAAAATATTTAGACCTTTTATCATAAGACACTGCAAATTGAGTGGGTTTAAATAATCCAAGGCATAGTTCAGGTCTTTTGAAGTTGGTGTTATGCAGTACTTGTGAGTAGTCAGCGTCTTGTCTGCAGTAGACCGCGATCAGAGCAGTCTCAGTTTGGAGAGTGGTCAGGAAATAATTACACTTTGTGTGCTATTTACATCATTACTTAAACTTCAGAGTTTAACTTATTGGGGATGCCCAACGTGGCCCATTTTCAAGTCAAGTCAAGTCAAGGTTCTTTATTGTCATTTGCACCACATGTGGTACATGTGGTGGAATGAAAATGTGCACACAGGGCTCCAGTTACATCCAACAAAAGTATAAATTGTAAAGAAAAACTGTAATAAGATCTAAGATATGAACTAAGAAATACGTTAAAACTAAGAATACACTAGCACAAATGGGATGCAGCTTAGGATGCAAAACATTTTGTAATAAATTGCAGATGGCATTATTTTCAGTTTAACTACCCATTTTATGACATTTGACGTTGACCATGTCCTTCAAATGTAAAAGGTTGCTAAAATAATAATAATAAACTGCCCTCCTCTGAGCACTAGATAGACTGACTACTCTGATAACTAACTAAATAAATAAATAAATAAATAAATAAAAAAAAGGTTATTAAATGGCTATTTTAAAGGAGACAATGCTATCATTGTAAAATAGTAAATAAACAAAAATCATGGGACGTCTCAGTGGCTTGGCTTCATTGCCTTTTTTGCTGTAGTTACTGTATAATAGAGCTGCGATTTCTAGCCCCGGCCCGACCCAACCCAAAATTCAGGCCAGATCGGGCCAAAATTATGTGCTTGATGAGTGGGCTGGGTTGGTCTCAGGCTTTTGATGGGGTTTTACGAATCATACAGCACAAAGAAAACTAAATGAGAATGCGCAATATAAAACTGTGTTAATCTACGTGTAGAGGAGGACGCAGGCCCGACCGGCCGGTTGAAAGAGGTAAAAAAAATATCCAGTTAAGCTTCAGATGGATCACCTGATCACCGGCCGCGCGCGTCTCCACACCCTGCTGTGATCTGTGGTGAAGGAAGTTGCAGCATCTGAAGCGACAAAAGCCGAAGCGAGCAGCACGTTCAATTAAAATGGCTTGGTTCTATATTTTTCCAAATAATTTCGCTCTAAAAATATTTTTGTTCATCTGTATAATAACCTATCTTTAGAGTTGATTTTTTTAGACTATTCATTTTGTTTGTTAATATTCAGCATTTGGTGACTTGTTCATAAACAAGATATCTTATATCTTCCTTTCTTTGAAATACGTTTTAATATTTCATGTCAAACTGATTTGCTTTCCAAAGCAGTAAAAGTTCGGGTTCGGGCCTGTAATTACAGGCAAATTGGTCGGTCGGAAAAAATGGGGCTGGGTCAGATTTTTTTAGGCCCGAATGTAACTCTACTGTATAATTAGCTACTACAGCCACTAGAGGGATCAGTGTGTACAACCTGTGTATTAATGTCATATCATTAATAATTAATGTATTAATACCAATGTGTATTAACATATTTTCTCATAACTACTACAAGTTTAATATTAAAATGTGACTCTGTGTGCTAAGAGGCTGCTTGCACAAACAACCCGTGTTCTTTTTCACTGTGGATGCAGAACCATTGATATCTAGTTAATGTGTGTCTAACAGTTTAATAAAATATTAAAATTACTACATTTACCATATGAAGCCCCATATTATTTATTTTTTGGTAACTGCCATGCGCTTTGGATAAAACGTGAAAGTTAAGTCTTTTTATTTCTCTGGATTGTAATGAAGTTCCTCGGAGTGCTGCTTCCATCTTGACCTGGTTGAAAAGAAGGGCGGGGTCAGTTTCTGACCTCATCACTGATATCAACCAATCAGAGCCCTCAGAGGAGCTAAAGGTGGTTGGATTCTTTAAGGTAAAAAACCCCCAGAGGTTTTATTTTTTGTCTTTGTGCTTTTAAGACTGGAGACTGAAGTTTAAAACTATCTGTGTGTCTGTCTGGGTGTGCAGGATCTAAACCACGAGTACGTCCAAGAGTTCTACGCTGCGGCAATCGATCTACCCGACATCAGCTTCGCCGTGACGCAGAATGATGATGTCATCGGCAACTATGGACTCACACATGATGCAGTTCTGCTGCTCAAAAAAGTACTCAAAATGTTCACATAAACTCCATCCATCCATTATCTTTACCCGCTTATTCCATTTTGGGTCACGGGGGTCACTGGTGCCCATGTCCAGCAATCACTGTGCGAGGGGCGGGGTACACCCTGGACAGGTCGCAAGTCCATCACAGGGCCACATAGAGACAAATGAGACAAACAACCATTCACTCTCTCACTCACACCTAGGGACAACTTTAGAGTTACCAATCAGCCTAACATGCATGTTTTTGGTCTGTGGGAGGAAACCGGAGCACCCGGAGAAAACCCACGCATGCACGGAGAGAACATGCAAACTCCACCCAGAAAGGCCCCTGGACCGGGGTTTGAACCAAGGACCTGCTCGCTGAGAGGCAGCAGCTCTACCAGTTGTGCCACCGAGCTGCCGTTCACATAAACTCACAAAATGTAAAGAATGTCAATTTTCTTCATTTTAAAATTCAGTGGATTGTATTATATTTAAAAAAACAACAACAATTAAACAAAAATAAAAATGATCAGTTCACTGAGTTAGCTGAGGCGGTGCAGAAATATTTTACTTAAAATTTGTAAATAAGACAAATGTTTATTTAAATATGACATAAATTGATTGTAAAAGGAACTGAGGGGAATAAATGGTAAGCACCAGATCCTGCTCACTATTAAAATAAACTATAAAATAATGTAAAACAAAAAAAATTGAGAGGAAATCAGACAAGACATGGATAGGTGTTAAAAATCAAACTTGCATCTGTAATGACATTCATTATGAATCAACATACAGAAATTAACTGTAGCATTCATCATAAGTGCACCATTTGACATGACAATGTTATAAGAAATATAATATATAATTAATTTAATATAAATAAATGTATATATACTGTATATATAAATAAATATAAATAATTTAATATTAATAAAGCTATCAATCTATCAATCAATCTATCAATAAATCTATCAAATCTATCTCTATCTATCTATCTATCTATCTATCTATCTATCTATCTATCTATCT